TATGAGTACTTGTAATATACTATTACTATTTTCTAATACTTGCTGCATGTCAATGGAAAGGAAATACCGAGTACAAAATGCCGGAATTAGTCTCTATAGAGTGGACCTTTTTATGACTAATGAAAAATAAAGCAAAAACCATCAGCAACCGAATTACTTCAAAAGGGCCCAAATTGAATAATGTGCAAAAACTGCTCAAGACATTGTTTTTAAAAATGTCTTACACACAACATTATAAATATTTTAGCATTATCCACTTGAGTGGTCTATATTTAAATTTTGTTAAAGATATATATTTCCTTACTAATTATTTGTGCATATCATCAGCTAATCAATTTTGTCATACACTCAATGAAAGTTGGCATGTTTGCTTGTACCAACAGTCCGTAATCATACACAAGGTAGGATGGTATTTTTAGGTTAAAATCGGCATGTACACGTTGAAATGCGTTGTTTGCATGTTTTGTGCATTTAACTTTTTTAACTTTGTTCTAAATTTTGCTTAGAGTAACTGATGGGAACAGGGTGAGCGTTGAAAGAGGTAAGGTACAGGTCATAGGGATATACAGAATGCATAAATAATCTGTAACTATGAATCGATATTTGTACGTTAATGAGTCACGCTAGTTTACATGGCGGTTTTCAGTTCAGGATTTAGTTAGATATTGTATCACCCGTTAGTAAAGCAAAAACCCCGCAAATGCTGCAATACTACAAGTTTTTTTTAAAAAAACTGTTGTTGTTTTTTCAAAATTCAGAGGCGCTATTTGGACGGAATGACATGCGTAATGACTCACGAACAAACTGACAGTCGGACGGACACACATTGGGATAAAACGCCCCAGGTGATAAAAGAACAAAAGACAGACACAGATGATACCATCTGCATTCCACGAGAGTATTTTTCGTTTCAGATTTGGAGCCATGATGAAAGGTTTATTAAGGATAATTGATGTGTGATGATTGTGTGATGTGGTTGTTTATTCTGGGTAAGATATTAGAAAATAAAAAAGTTATAAATGTTTGTATCTAATTTACTACCATTGCTACCATTACTACTTGTGTTATTTAGAAACAGTTTACCTTATATTGAAACCTTTTTAATTTCCAATAAACTTGAAAGTTTATAACTGTGCCTTTGTAATCAGCAGTCAATTTTTTTGTTTTTGTTTTGTGGGTCTTTCTTTCTCGCCTTAGGAAAAGAAATAGGAACCACAAAATTTCCAAACAAAATAAATACATTCTTAAACAACAAACAAAACCATTATCTCTTTTCTACAATAACAAAATCAGTGAAAAAATAATGTTTGGATTCTTTCACTAAACAAATTCAGAAAATAACAAATGCTTATTCAATTTTACAATCTTCCCAAACAATACTATTACACATTTACCCTGTTATTCCTGTATTTTCTTACACTTCTTAACTACCATGGCCATCACAATTTCATAGAAATTTCTCTCTATTGATATTCACTATGTGAATAAAAAAACAAAATAATTGCAATATTTCACACGTACTATTTTAAAACACGTGACACTTTAATTACAATACAATTAATTTACCAGCTATACCAATTTAAATCGTCCTATTCTATGCTGGTTTAACTATCATGCCTTAAGATACAAAATTGTTGTTCTATCTTCACAATGTTTGTGTCCTATACCAAGAGAATCGAGTAACAAGCACCCAAAATATCAACTATTTAGGTTACACACAATTTAATTTTTCCCCATCTCTCTTTCACTCTACCATTCCACCTCATTCTGTTACCAGGTTATTTTTCTCTTATCTGCCACTAATTACCGTTATGTAGTACAGCACTCGCCCTGCCCTAGGCTACATTCCCTCCTCACGCCATTGCACTCGTCAGCACGTCGCGAAATGTTGTTATTTCTAGTCTATTTCTGCTTTAGTAGTTTCACTTTCAAACAAAATAACTACATTTCAATAGCAGAGTCCCTCACGTTCACGTGGAATATCTATCATCATTAATTAAGAAATTGGGGACCGCTATTGTCCGAGACCAAGTACAAAAAAAAACATTTCCTTCGCAGGGCGTTATAGTGCCATGACAAACCGTTGATTCTACCTGGGCCTTCTCGATTGTCATTTTAGAACTTTGGCTTTTCACCTCATCGAGACTGGCTGTCCACAATGCATCGACCTTCACGTTGCACACCGTGCAGTCCGTTCTCCGGTATCGTTTTTCCAAATTTATTCGCTTTGGATATGGCAACACGATTTTCCAAATCCTCCAAATGCCATAGATATAAAGTATCAAATTACAAAAGTAAAACTATAAGTCAAATGTATTGAAGTAATGAAACAATATTCTCCGCCCAGCTCACGATCCGACATTCATGGCTGCCTGCCTCCTTCATTCTTCTGCCTGTCTCTTCCCTCCCCTCGCGTCGATCAGCAGACACACTTCAATTCATTTGCTTCTGAATGTACATAAACATGGGTGGCTCCTCTTACAGAGGGCACGGCCAGCGCTATTAAAATGTAGCGTTCTTATCTTCCACAGATAGGCAACGGATACAATATATGCACTTCATCGTAGGCAAATAATAAGTTAAATGATTTTACCGTCTTGAGGACCGGCAGCAGCTAAAGATTATTTAAAATATAAATACTCGTACTAATACTCGTACTCGAATTTCAGGGAACATGTTTCTAATTTAGGATTAAGAACATTTGTACGCAACCAGACGAAAATATTTTGTTTTTATCTGAACCTTTGAGCATCGTCACATCTTTAGAAAGATGTGTATCTAAAAGTAAATGATTTTACTTATTGTTCTCTTATGGAAAACAGTAACAGAAAATACCGAAATGTTTGTATCAATAAAATATCATTTTTGTAGCTACGTCGTAGCCGTCCGTCTGTCCGTCTGTCTCTGTCTGTCACTGTCTGTCCGTCTGTCCCTGTCTGTCCCTGTCTGTCACTGTCTGTCCCTGTCTGTCCCTATCTGTCCGTCTGTCCCTGTCTGTCCGTCTGTTCGTCCGTCTCTGTTTCGCTGTCCGGTCCGTCTCTGTCCGTCTGTCCGTCCGTCTCTGGCGTCGGTCGGTCCGTCTCTGTTTCCGTCTGTCCGTCCGTCTCTGTCCGTCCGTCTGTCCTACGTCTCTGACGTTCTGTCCTCCGTCTCTGTCCCGTCTGTCCCCGTCCGTCTCTGACCGTCTGTCCGTCACATCTTCTGTCCGTCTGTCCGTCCGTCTCTGTCGTCTGTCCGTCCGTCTCTGTCCGTCTGTCCGTCCGTTCGGCTCCGTCCGTCGCTGTCCGTCTCCGTCCGTCTCTGTCCGTCCGTCTCTGTCCGTCTGTCCGTCCGTCTCTGCCTGTCTGTTCCGTCCGTCTCTGCCTGTCTGTCGTCCGGCTCTGGCCGTCTGTCCGTCCTCTCGTCCGTCTTGTCCTCCGTCTCTGTCCGTTCTGTCCGTTCCGTCTCTGTTCGTCTGTCCGTCCGTCTCTTCCGTCTGTCCGTCCGTCGTCCGTCTCTGACTGTCTGCTCCGTCCGTTCTGTCCGTCGTCCGTCCGTCTCTGTCCGTCCGTCTCTGTCCGTCTGTCCGTCAGTCTCTGTCCGTCTGTCCGTCCGTCTCTGTCCGTCTGTCCGTCCGTCTCTGTCCGTCTGTCTGTCCGTCTGTCCGTCTGTCTGTCTGTCTCTGTCCGTCGGTCCGTCTGTCTCTGTCCGTCTCTGTCCGTCTTACCCTCCTTCCGTCTGTCCGTCCATCATAAGTCTAGAGTCTAAACCATATGTAGGATTTTTCCGAATTAATAGTACCTAATTGATAAAAACCTTAAAAATTGATGAAAATATCGAGAAAATATTTAAGCTCTTAGAATCCAAAGACTCGCCATTGTTAATGTACCGAATCATTGTCTTATCGAGGTATTCCTAGGTTTGATGGCAGCTTTCGTTCTTTCTTTTCACAATGGACCATTTATAATCCCTCAAGTTTTGGCACTTACACCTTTTATCAAAATTTATTAGTATTGTCAATTGTTTTTTTTAAACCGTTCGTGACATTATTTAAAATAATACTCGTATATGAACTGTATGATGTGAGTCAAAAGTAAGTCTCTGATATTACTTCCCAAGGGTATGTCAGATTCGCGGAATATCTACCAATCAAATAAAAACAACGTGGAATGAAAGGAAAGAGCTTTTTATCAAACGCGCAATAGGTATCTGCGTGAATTGATCCGACAAAGAAGAACAGTAATGTTAATTATCGTTTTACCTATTGATATTCTGAGAATCTTGCTAGGTTTCTAATACTGGAATGGTTCACAATAGTGAGAGTGTTGAAGTGAGAAGTAACAAAGTCATTTTATTCGCAATTATTTATTCCTTTGGACGTGATTTTCATGATGGGTTTTTTCAATAAAATGTTATATATGAGCTCAACATTACTTGCAGAAGAGAAGAGAATTGTATTTGTGCAGTTGTGTAATCCAGACACGAATTTAAAAGTGTAAAAACGTACAAATTGTGAATATACCAAATTATTATTTCAGGAAAATTTCATTGGTCAGAGCTCCAAGATTGTCATATAATACATTGGATTGATAGTGAATTCAATACTTGGAGTGTAAAATATGTTAAGTTCATTTACTGAATGGGATAAAAAAGCAATTTTAGGACAAAATAATATTATCAATAAGCAAAAACGTTTTATGGCGTCTGAACTTCATATCAAACCTTCATAATTTCTACACTCAACTCGACATTATATTCGCACTCAATATTTCCGTTTGAGGTGATTCAATGAGGCAGTGTGTTGCAATATAGTATATCAAATTTGCAGTGGTGTTATTACAAAACACGGCATTGCCCAAAGGATATATTGTGACTGGGACAATTCCTCTCTTTTGAAATGCTTCAGCGTTCAAGAACTGTAAGCTCATTATGAATCAATGATATGAAATTTCCTTATTATATAATTTAGACTTGAAATTGTACTAATTTGAAACTTTTTTCATTGTGAATTTTCTTTTCAGATTTCTGAAAATCATCTAAAATGAGATCATGCTCTCAATACAAGTGTTTTGGGAAAAATTATGAAAAATTACAAAATACTTGTATTACTCTATTTGGTATGTGGGTCAGCAAAAGGAAATGCAAGTTCTCACATCCACGAGTTTCGTAATACACTTATTCAAGGAGCAATGGCTAATTTGGGGCAATGTCTTAAAACAATACAAGCCCATGACGTGTACTTGAATACACTAGACAATTCAGAATATACGCTGCAGGTAAAATGTATACTACATTATTTTATGATGTTAACCAGATTGTTTCGTTCCCTAACTTCTTCAATTACATATTAATTTAGTTTAGTTTGTAACTATAATGACCTAATACAGAATGTCTCAGATTAAATATTACGAACTTTTAAGACATGGAGAACGATCGAAAGAGGGAAATGTTTAACAATGAATATAGAAACGAACTTCTAGACCATCATACAAATTTTTACATTATGAAGAGGGATCGAGGGTAATCACTTTTTGTCAATGAACGTATGGTGTGAAATTACATAATATAAGTTATCTATGTGGCGTTAGCGTCTGTAGTAGCGTAACGAAATTAGTGCGGGTTCGCCAGCAAAATGTTTATCCAGCACCCTTTATCAAATTAATATTGCGGATTTTTTAAAAGGGGGACCCTTCTTTAAAGAAATATCTACAATGTTAATTCTCTTTAAACATGCACTCAATACTTCAGCGACAAATAATCCCACGCAGATCTCATTAACTGAAACATTAAATAAAGCGGCAATGCAAGTCAAAACGATGCTATCCATCAACCCTCTAATTGTAATTGTTATTTATTGAAAAACGTTGCAACGCTCACGTCTGAGCGTAGACAGCCGAACTGAATGCAAATACGTATTTTCACTGTTTGCGCATATCAAAAGGAAATGTACACTACTTTGCCATCACCAAAACTAACACACAAGTAGCACTTTTCAATTTGCATAATTGCAAATTTCTGAGATTTTGTTCTTTAACTGCATATTTTTATTTATGTAGCATATTTAAGTACATATATTAAAGGTTTTTGTGAGGAATTGGGTCGAAGTGAGATATTTTCGTGTGTTTTTTTAAAGAAAAGTGAATTAAGCTATGCCAATGCTACAATACCAACATAACATTTCCAACAGCCTTCTGATAACATTGTTTTCACGTACATCGATTTACTCATATCGTTAACAATAAATAACGTAAAATACCTTATAACCAATATTGGTAAATTTTGCTTTTGTTAATTAATTGTATGAAATTAAGACTATTAAAATACCTAAATGAATAGCTTACCTTTATTGATTTAGAAACAGGGATACATAAACTACAGAATGGGAAAAATATCGTTATTTTTGAAGATGATTTTTTAAATCTTTTATTGTATTAACTATCGTAAATCAAGTAATTAATATTTCTTACAATCGCAAAACCTTCACTCTAAATATAGGCCGCCTTTTTTTTTACCTGGACCTCCCCGAATTACGGGCCTTGTGGGTCCGAAAGTTACGCTACTGAGCGCTTAATTGATAAGCATCTCCTCATCCTTTTGATGAGTACATAAAACCCCTTTGCGTGAGAAGGTGACCAGTGCTTTGGCGATGCACGATGGATAGTAAACCAATTAAATGCAAGTATCACATAAGTAATATGGTTGCACGAAATTTTTCGCCGTATTATCATACACAAAACGTGATTTTTTTCGATCCCTTTTCAAACATAGAAGTTTGTAACATTTATTGCGAGACATCTGTATATTTGTTTCCTTCTCACTTCAAATACCTGAATCTGATTATTACAGGTACTGGACATTCTCGCAAACACGTTCCATTTTTCTGCATCATTTACTATCTCTTCTTCTAATACATCCAAATGGATTACAGCACCTTCGTCTCAGCCCGTCTTCTTGGTTTTCTCTTTGAACAGAACAAATGATTGCCAACATATTGAAAACATCTTACGCCGTTTTACAGTAAATTACATCTGTGCGTATTTGAAGAGGATTGTAAATCGAACTGTGCCAATAAAATATATTCACAATTCAACACATGAAAAACGTGAAATTAAAGTCATGACCATTAAACCGGTGGTGGTATTGATTAGTTCAACATTGAAGTTATTCACATGTGAACATTTGCAGAAGAACAAGGAAAATATTATTTATATGTTTGGCAGAACAAATCATAATACCCACAGAAAACATTTTTTCTTGGAACATTCCGCTGCATGGATTTCTGTGGCACTAGGAAATAGTTCTACACAAGAAAATATCATTTATAAAACTGAATTAAGAGAATGTACGCATGAGAGACCTATAACCGTTTACTGGACTAATAAACACGGTGAAAAGATTAGGGATGGAACAGATTATATTATGAAACATTTATTTAAGAAACTTTACGGACTTAAAGCAGGAGATAGGAAATCCACAAGTTCGGCAGAATCAGTGAATACCTTCATTTGCATTGCCAATAGTAGTGCGGACGTTTCATTTAATGCTTACTTCCCGACGTTTGAAAGGCATCAATCTGTCGATTTTACTATGCCATTCCATGCCCATCCTCTTTGCGTGATGATGCTAAAAGCCCCCACAATTCCATTTTACCTAGTGTTACTTACACCCTATCGCGTTTCTGTTTGGGGCGCAATTCTCAGCTCACTATTAGCTGCATCAATTGTATGGTCTTTGGTACAAGATATCTTTACGAATACTAAATTTCTTTCTCAAAATAGAAACATCATAGGAATTTTTGGCCGTGGATGGTTTGATATGATTCAAGTGTTTATTTCAAGCGGTTGTAGCCGACGTACAAAAACCTCCGTGCAGAGGTTAGTTCACGGTTCCACCCTGTTATTCTCACTTGTCTTGTGCAACGCTTACACGGGGCAACTCCTGGGGTTTTTGGCTACGCCTCCGCGTTATAAGGACCCTGCGACTTTAGAAGAAGTTGACGGCCTCGTAGAAAACTTGTACACGCATTCCAATTTCCATCAATTGTTGACAGGCCCCGGTACAACATCCTCCATGAAGAGCCTAGCCAAAAAGTTGGTGTTGGAACCATTTGATAAAATGTTACCGCGCTTGGTAGAAGTAACTCAAACTGGTCAGGACGCGTATTTAGCCGCAACAAATGTGTACGAAATTTTCGGACGATATGTAAATGTAACAACTGACGGAGAAACGAAAATTAATTTAGTACGCGAATGTGTCTTTTCTCCGGGTTATCTTACTTATTTACTCAGAAAGAACCTTCCGCAATACGAATTAATAAACCAGTTCGTATTGCGAGTTTTGGAAGCGGGGTTGGTTGATCATTGGGAAGGCAGTCAACGGCACAAAATGAGTGTTCATGGATTGATGGTCCCAAAAGGAGTAGTAGTTCGTTACCCGCGATCGCTCACCACAGACCAACTCTTTGGGTCTTTTCTGGCCCTGGGTTTTGGCCTGGCATTTTCTAGTGTTGCATTTTTAGTGGAAAAGATAATAGGACTGTGTTACAGTCGTAAGTTATTGTATTAATAACACTTTTACAATACCCCGGTACATGTTTGTTATGTTCTTATTCCACAGCAAATTATGGAAATTATTTTTAAAAAAATAAGTTTAACACAATGCTAATAGAACTTACGTTATTGGTATCATTATATATGCCAGATACTTGAAAAAATTCTATAATATTTTCATTTTTACATTAGCTCTTTGGCGAGAATATTGTAATGGATTAGAAGTAAATCTTCTTTTATCTTTTTAATAACAAAAAAATGCAAAATGACTATTAAATTCTTATAAAAAGTATTATGTAAATGTCTTGCTATATTCTAAGAAGTAATTACACATTTGTTTTACACTATAAGAAACAACATGTGATAATTAAGTCTAAATGAAAACATTCTAAATAATTAAGTCTAAGAAATAAATTAGTCACAAAATTTTTCGTTCTCTGACCTTCCTATGTACCACATATGAATACACCATTTCTGATGTACCGCCTATGAGTACAAGCAAAATCACAATGCTGCAGATACAAACACTACCCCAAAATCGTGAAGTCCACATCGCAGCCACAGTCTTCCTATTCACATCATCCTCATCCATGCCTCTTCGTTGAAAAATTGAATAAAATCGCAAAAGTAAGGTTAACAAAAAAATATAGATTGATAAAAAATACTTACGAATTGGCTGTCATCGAATATCAGAGCTTCTGCTGACCACGATGACCTTCACTTCAAAAGGGCTTGCACTATACTAATGTTTAGTTAACAGCCATTTAGGAAGCTAGGTGGGGAGAGCGTTGCATTTTTATCTTCCATCACTTTAGACGCGTGCAACCCCATCCCTGTAGACGCACGTACAGTTAAAGAAAGAAATCGGTGTGTATCTCAATGATACAAGCACTCGAGTGTTTAGTTTTACTTTCTGATACACTCGGTATAGAGTTGCTTAAACAATAACACCAAAAATCGATGTCGAACCAAAAACATACTTTTTACGGGAATACATTGTTTGAGCATTCTTGGTGCCGAAACAGTCTTTTTCATCACATCTGTCCTTCTGTTCATCAGTCCGTCCGTTCTTGAAGAAACCGATCCTAAATCATGAACAAGATTTTACTCAAAATTCGTAACCTTGATTGTTCGACCGAAATCAAGGTCCTTCGAATTTGAAAAGTATCTTACTTTTGGATACTTTTCATGAAACTGCTAGGCTAACTTTCTTCACAAATACCACTCATCTTTTCACTATTTTCCATTTTCTTCAAATATCTTAGGTCTTTATTACAGCAATTTAACGTCACCAAAATTCTTAATTTGAAGACGAAGAACACCTAAGAATAAAAACTAGCAAAACTACCTGGCGTTGCCCTATGACAACAAGCGACGTTGCCCAATGACAGCAAAACGAAAATTCATGATGAAACATATTCTAAAATTTGAGATTTATCACAAATGTCTTTTTAGTAATAGGTATCATTTAAAACAAAGAGAAAATGGCGCTTTCAGGATTAAACTATTTATAA